TCGACGAACCGTTTGATGAGTTGAAGCTATACTTAGACTCCTATGAGAAGTTTGAGGACATGTCTCGCAAAGAGTTATCTCACACACCATTTCTGGTCATTCTTCACAAATATCTCCTCAAATGGAGACAACACTTGAATCGCAGCGCAAAAGAATTGCCCAAAACTTTTAAGGAGAAGAACGAACTAAAGAAATTGATTCGCGAAGACATGGATGCGCTGAGAGAGCATCTGAAGAGTAAGTCAGATGAGGAGGAATCCAAAGAACTCGATCTCGAGAACTTCGAAGAGGCCATGAAAGCCATGAACACCGTATTAATCGCTTCCGATTACATTCCGTCCGAAATTCAGTTACTTCTCAACGACTCGAGAGTCACGTCCAGTGAATCCAATGACACGTCGTTCTGGCTGTTAGTCAAAGCACTCAAACAATTTGTCGATCAAAACAAATGTCTGCCTCTGAGGGGAACCATTCCGGACATGACCTCCGAGTCGACTAAATATATAGAATTGCAACGAATTTATCGCTCGAAAGCCGCCGAAGACGCCGAAAGTGTTTACAATATCTTACAGACACTCCCTCGGGCACACACTCTGACGGTCACCGAAAGTGAAGTGAATCTCTTCTGCAAAAACGCTCACTATTTGCGAGTCATCCGCACCTCACGTATAGACACCGAACTCAGTGGCCATCGATTGAAACAAATCGCCAATACTATCGGAATCGCTGACGACGACACCGAAGACGACGAACTCCGGTATTATCTGCTCATGAGATTAGTCGACAAATTCTACTCATTTCACAACCGATTCCCCGGTGAACGCAATGATGAGGTCGAGAGCGACGTCTCTGTGCTTAAGGTTTGTCTCCAATTGAGTATTCAATTCAGTCTAATGAGAGATTTGAATGTTTCAGACGTATCTCAAAGAGATTTCCAGTGATTTTGGATCTAATTCTGTAGTGAAGGACGACTTGATCCATGAAATGTAAGTTTATTACTCTATAGTTAAGGATTTACTGAATTGAGTTATGATTGGTTTATGGCATTAGTTGTCGTTACGGCGGCTCTCAATTGCATTCAATCTCTGCATTCATCGCCGGTTGTGCCGCACAAGAAGTGATCAAAATCCTCACCTCACAGTACACTCCCATTGATAACACGTTTGTCTACAATGGCATGACTTCTGTGTCCAAGACTTACAAACTTTAAATGTAATCCTCTGTCGGACAATATTGATATAATTACATAAATTTGCAATTAATTAAAAACTTGCGTGATATTTCTATAATATTTGAATTAAGACTAATTGTAGTATTAAGTTAAATAATAATTAAATTAAAATTGATAAAGTTGATAAAAAATCATTAATTTATGACTCTTTTCAAACGATTATTTGAATTAAGTTATGAAAAAGTGACGTAAATATTGCATTGAATGGTAAGCATTGCGTCAGTGAATGAGTGCTACAAAGAGTAAACAAACAGCGCTTTCATTGACAACAAGACATCATTGGATGCATTGTTTCGGAAATGCAATCATTTATTGTCCATAAAAATCACTTCAATTTGCTGCAAATCCATCAGTTGTTGAGACACTCGTTGGCGGTGTCCACACAAGCGCCACAAAAGCGATGTCTTCACAATCACCTAAGGATCAGTTCATGGGGTGATTGGTTGCGATCAAAGAGTGGCCGCAAACTTGTGGCCGAATGTCGAGCTATTGGGCGAACTCTGGCCAACGCCAGGCTATCGGTGCCCATCACTAAGACATGGTTTGCAGATCCGATGCTACTGTCCAATGATAACCACAACAAGAGTTCAAACAACAAACCAAACGGTAATAAAAAGTCGGAAACGAATCGCAATTACGATAACGAAGACCAGGAGGAAGACAACGATGAGCCCAAGTCCTCACTCATCGCCAAAGCTGTCGTTTGGATGTTATCCGGGTTTGCATTCATTGAAACACTTCTTGAGATCACTATCAAGTGATTCTCGTCACGAATTACTTACTGATGTGTGTTGTATTGANATGACAATAACTCACGAAGAAGTCCACATTAACGGGAGTTTTGATTTGTCCGGATCTGAACATAATTAGTATCATAAGCGAGACGGCCACCAATGAGACCAACAAAAGCCAAGTGCTCTCCTGATTGCGTTCGTACACAACGGGAACCGCTTTGTCTGGTTTGATGGATAGGTATCTCTCGGCATCCCGAAGACGCTTCTCAAACGACGCCACGTTCACTATATTCATGTGATATGTCTTATGGTCGGCGCGATTGCCTTTAATGATAGCGCCGTCGTGTAGATAAATGGTCACCAAATCGAGCTCCGGGCGCACCAACAGCTGTTCCACCTCTCCTTTGGCCAGCATTTGGTGCAGAAACTCATTCCATGAGACATATCTCAACACATCCGGAGTGTTAGAGTTGGGGAACAGGAGTGACATAATCGTGATCACCATATATCTGGTCATCAATACAACACACATATTAGTAAGTAATTCGTCATTCAAATCACTTGATAGTCATCTCAAGAAGTGTTTCAATGAATGCAAACCCGGATAACATCCAAACGACAGCTTTGGCGATCAGTGAGGACTTGGGCTCATCGTTGTCTTCCTCCTGGTCTTCGTTATCGTAATTGCGATTCGTTTCCGACTTTTTATTACCGTTTGGTTTGTTGTTTGAACTCTTGTTGTGGTTATCATTGGACAGTAGCATCGGATCTGCAAACCATGTCTTAGTAATGGGCACCGATAGCCTGGCGTTGGCCAGAGTTCGCCCAATAGCTCGACATTCGGCCACAAGTTTGCGGCCACTCTTTGATCGCAACCAATCACCCCATGAACTGATCCGCAGGTGATTGTGAAGACATCGCTTTTGTGGGGTATGTGTGGACACCGCCAACGAGTGTCTCAACAACTGATGGATTGAAAGCAAATTGAAGTGATTTTTATGGACAATAAATGATTGCATTTCCGATACAATGCATCAAATGATGTCTTGTTGTGAATGAAAGCGCTGTTTGTTTACTCTTTGTAGCACTCATTCACTGACGCAATGCTTACCATTCAATGCAATATTTACGTCACCTTTTCATAGCTTAATTCAAATAATCGTTTGAAAAGAGTCACAAATTGATTATTTTTTATCAACTTTATCAATTTTAATTAAATTATTATTTAACTTAATACTACAATTAGTCTTAATTCAAATATTATAGAAATATCACTTCAGGTTTTAATTAATTGCAAATTTATGTAATTATATCAATATTGTCCGACAGAGGATTACATTTAAAGTTTGTAAGTCTTGGACACAGAAGTCATGCCGTTGTAGACAAACGTGTTATCAATGGGAGTATACTGTGAGGTGAGGATTTTGATCACTTCTTGTGCGGCACAACCGGCGATGAATGCAGAGATTGAATGCAATTGAGAGCCGCCGTAACGACAACTAATGCCATAAACCAATCATAACTCAATTCAGT